TTAGATAGAGCTCGTCGAGTTCTACTTGGAACCGGGTTGGAACACTTGGAACACATTCCTGGACGAATATGGGAAGGTTTTACTCGAATATGGTGCTAACTTCACCTACGTAGAAAAATCTATGAAACTTTACCAAGTTAAATATTCTGTATTATATGTTTATGTTATCTTCTAGTATTAATAGCATCAATTTTTTTATATTTGTTCTATATTCAATTTAAATAAAATAAAAATGAGACATTTTTATTTGAAATTTTGTATAATATGAGAATTGTTGATTAAAGGAAAAAGAAGTTATGCCATTCATTCATTGATCGTCGATTTAAGCTAGAAAAAAAAATCACTCTTTGTTTTCACTGACGTGAGGCAGCGGTCAAAAAAAAACAAGCGAATAGACGATAATTATATATATATAAATAGTTGTTGATATGTATAACCTGAGAACGAATTGTCAAATTCATAAGAACATGGAAAATTTAATTATTCAATTAATCGGTTTGCCTGATGAATTGCTTGTGATGATTTTCAAGAAACTAAACAATGTTCAATTACTTTATACTCTATTTGGTATCAATAGAGAATTAGATAGAATTCTATCTGATTCAATCTTTACTAGATATTTAGTATTATCAAGGAATCTTTCAAATGATGTTATTTGTCCAATAGTTGACACAGTACTTGATCGATTCTGTTCACAAATATTGCCTCAAATTCGTTATAAAATCAATTTCCTTACACTTGAAACATCATCTGTGGAACGTATTCTTCTCACTGCTGATTATCCTAATTTATATGGTCTCGGTCTTTACAATATTGATGAGAAGAGTGCTAAGCGTTTTTTCACTGGTAAGATATTTAATTGAAGTTATGTCAACATTGTTTTCGTTGAAGAAAAAGTACTTCTTCAAAGATACTAAATGACATGTGACATAATCTCTAGAAAAATTAATTTTTTTCGTCATAGTAAAAGTTAATTTTTTTGTATGTGTTTAGACAAATCTCCTTTATTCGAAGTTTTCAACAAAAAGATTCAATCACTTTTCATTAGAATGGTTGATAAAAAAAAGAATAGATCAGAAGGTGATTCTGTACTATCCGTCTTTACAAGTATTTTAAATGTGTTTAACAATCTACGTTATTTAAATTGTCATCCATTCGTGGAATTAGATTTGCCACGATTATCATTTGATGAGAAAACTCCGACATTTTTCTCTTCAACTATAGTGGAGTTGCATATCACTGTCGAAGACTTCAACGATTGTCTTTATTTACTGAATGGTCGTTTAAGTCAACTTCGTACATTTTATGTTAAAATCTACTTTTTTTTTTTGCCATCAGAAGTGATTAAAGAGAAGGTATATTACTTTGAAGAATCTAAATAATAATAAATATTTATTGAATGTTGTTCTTTTTAGAAGTCATTGCCTAATATGAAATGTTTTTCGTTGATGTGTAAATCAGAAATACTTTGTTATAATAAATCAATCGTATCACTTCTTCAACGAATGACGAATCTAGAAGAACTTGCTTTGTATATTTTTGTTGGTCAACGAACATGTCTAGATGGAAATTGTTTGAAAAATGATATTATTAATCATTTACCTCGATTAAACAAATTTACCTTCAATATTCGTTCATTTATTTATGATCTTGATCAAGCTGATTTATTATCAAATGAATATATACAAGATACATTCAAGGGTCTTGGTGATATTCAAGTTATTTCTTGCGTTGATTATTTTCCAAAACAGAGAACTGGTCAATGTCATTTTTATTCATATCCATATACATTGACATATTACAACAATATAACAAATAATTTTACTGATGGATTATTTAAATTTGTTCGTGAAGTATCACTATTTGATGAACATCCTTTCGAACATGAATTTTTTATTAGAATTGCTCGTGCATTTCCACTTCTTGAAAATTTATCTATGATTAATCAAACACAACAAAAACAAAAATTAAATAATAATAACGAACATTTATCAATCATTGAATATCTTCATCTCAATCAATTACGTTTCATCGATACCCATGATGATTACGTCGAGCAATTTCTAGTTAATACAAATACATGTTTACCGAAGAATATTAGACTTTTCATCCATTATGACTCTTTGAAAAGAGTGACAAATAATTTTACAAGAGTTGCAACACGAGTAAATTGTTGCAAAATTAATTGTTTGCGTATCTACAATCAATTTCAAATATCAAAACGTTTAACCAACTATTTTCCTAATGCAAAAATATTGATTTAAGGCTCAAATTTTCAATAAAACAATACAAAATGATGAATACATAGTTTGAATAGTATATTCGACTAGACAAGAAGAGAGCATAAATTGTATTTTGTTTTTCACTCGTAGACAATCTCATGTAATAAAATATATCATTAAATGCACTGTAAAAACAATTTGTCAAACAACAAATAAAAAATAGTTCTATTTCAGTAAATCGCCATCAATTCAACTTACTGATTATCGAATATGCTGAAATATGTTCTTCCAGTGAAAAAGTTGATAGAAGATTGATAAGTGAATAAGAAATCGTTTTCTTAAAAGCAATTGATTTTTTCATGTAAACAATTTTTTCAAAACCAATGTGGAAGAAGAATATGAAATATGCATACTTCAGGTAAATCGTTGAGTCGATTATTTTCCCTTGGTAGAAGAAAAACTTGATGAGTCAAATTTCTCCTATTAAACATTTTTATCTATTGCTCTTGTATTTCCTCGATTAAACAAAACAAATGTTTCTCATTAATGATTTTCAATATTGATCACAGTATATACATGGGTCGTTCAAAAAGTATCAGGACTGGTTTTATTTAAAAACAATAAGAAATTTTAAAAAACACCTGAATATATAGAAAAAAGAAGCACTGCACTTTTATGTATCAGTCGTAGATAATTGATATCTTATATAGAATATATCAGTTAGATTTTTCTTATTTTTCAAAGTAATCAAAATTGTTATGGATATTGTATTTATTCAACTTCTATTTCAATGTTTCAAAGTTAACCTCTACTGAACAAGAACATTATAACGAAAATACAAACAAACAACACATATATCATAAATGATGGTTAATAGTTTATTGCAGTGATTTCAATGAGTTCTTTGACTTTATATACAGAATACTACTTCAGGTCAATGATTCCGGCGATCGAACCCATGAATTTTCGACAGAAATTCACCGAAAAGATATTATTTCCGTCGGAAAATTCCGAAAAACTATCAGAACTTGAAAATAGATATCTAGTAATTCCGATCAACAGATTCCAACTTTCGAGTTCCTACCATCTTTGATAATTTTTCAACCGAAACCGACTGGATCTCATTCTATCAGTACTCATTAGTAGATAATAAGTATTCGATTACTTAATATTAAATTGTCGATTGTGGATGAATCAATGATGCGACTGGTACAATGGTAT